ACTTCACTCAATTGTGATATAAATGAAAACACCTTTTAACAACATAGTAATGCCGATTGAAATGTTGATCTCCTTATTTAGAAAAGTTTTTGGGGTTGCATTTGTTAAACGTGTAGAGGGCGACATGTCTGGCATGTGACCTGATTAAATGGACATGCCTATGTATTTTCCGGAAGATACTGATTGGATGACTCCCATGAGCGGGTTTAAATGTTCCACGCTAGATTAAACGGACATAAATATAAATATATATAAATTTATGAAGGCTACTGATTGGACGTTGGAGCTTGTGGATGTGATCTGTTGCGTACACTGTCGCCTACTTTTTCGAAATAAATTAACAGTTTGTTTTTATTTTGCATATTAATTCATGGCGATGCTCCCGACTCCCGTATGTAAATTTAGAGCACCTGAGTGTGTATCATATTTATCTTCATCTTAGAAATGTTTATATATTTCGTAACAAATGCCAATGAAAATAACATTACTGACAATAAAACAAATTTGGTATATGCTTTTTCATACAGATATACAATTTCCAATTAATACCGTGCCGGTATCTTTATAATTTTTTACTAAATGCTGGTTTCCAACAATTCGTCACCCAAACTTAACAAACATAATTAATACAATAGTTACACAGTAGGTGGATATAGAGGGCAGTAAACTACTACAGTATACTGTCGTGTATGACACTAGATATGTCTCATTATTATCAATGTTACCATGTTGAGTGCACATTTGTTTGTACTAGAATGGTGCTAGCTTGGCTCTTATTTTTGTTGTGTTGGAGTCTGTGTTTGTTGTTTCATGTCAAGAGATAGCCTTGCCTCTTGCCCCATGTTTGAGTTTTTCAGTCAACTCTCCTTTTTATCATTATTTATTTTAATTATGATGTAATTCAGATACAATCATAACATATGTATGCAGTTTGCCAAGCACATCTTTTGATTGCTAAAGAACAATTTGTTGTAAACTAATGAAATGACAATATTACCGAATGATCCATGATTAACTATACTGTCTGTACAAGTATGTACTTGTATTTCTACTTTAGCCGTAGTGTTGTCATCACGTTGGCAACCTAGTACCAATACATAAGTTTTTACTTCTAAATGGTTATTGAGATTTGGAATAATTAATAGTTGGTCATATGACCTCCGTAAATATGATTAACTCTAATTCACAGAATGCTATTGAACATTTTTTTATTTTGAATGTTTTTAACATGGAATGACAACCATGCTTTATTCTACTTAGATCTATGTCCATTTTTAGGATACGACTTAATGAAGACTATTATTATTATTATTACTTAAAAGTAAAATACATTTATTTTGTGATAAAATCCATTATCATATCATTGAAAACTTGATCCAAAAGGCAGACAAATGCAAATTGATCTTGGTAGATTGAAGCTATATTGTATTTTTTATTGTATGTAGTTGCAATTCAAGACCTTGTAATAATCATATTAACTTACATATTTCCAATTTAATATATAAAAGTGACATATTCAACCTTGGAGTCTTAAAATGAATTGCATATTATTATAAGTGATAAATTCCTGACAATTTATTTCTGAGATGCAAACTAAAATATTTTCTGTATAATTTGACAGTAATTTTATATTGTTTTATATACATCATTGCTCATTAGAAAGTTCAATAACCGTCACTCAGTTTGTCCCGTGTGACAATCGGTATGTGTAGGATTACTTTCAAACGTTTTGGGGTAGATATTATGAACCGGAAAAATATCACATTTGCTTGAAGCTCAATAGTCATAGTCCATATTCTGTCTTATATGCGACGTCTACGAAGCGTGTAAAATACATTGTCTGTACCCATAATATATACTCTATTTAATTTTATCATCACTTAATTAATGGCGATTTGAACGATCACATTTATGTTTATGCATATGCTTGCTTAGTTATCCATAATTGAGCATCCATACACTGTCGATTATTTCCTAAAATTTCAAAACAAACGCAAATGCTCCTAGGCACTACCACAGATATCGTAAATCGGTGCTGTGTTCTCGAAATTTGAGTACGTGGCGAACATATCAAGATATTCCACAATCACATCGTAGCAATATTCATACTGGGCCTACAAAAGATAATAAAAAAACGTTATGATAATTATATTATGAGGTTATTACAGCTTGGGTATCGACCGACGCGCAAAATCAGCGAACTTCTTTGTGTGGTGTCCGGTCAAACTCTGGTGGCAGCCATGTTTTGTTTTTTTTATTATTAGAGGACGCTTCCGTTTTCATTCCATCTTTTGAATTCGCATTCACTATTATTGTAGAATGAAAATACCCCGTAAAATACCGAAAAATTACTCCACGCTGTAACTTATGGCGTTACGGTGAGAGATGTATAATAATAGATTTTATCATACACTTGTACAGATACTATAACTCACACACCGATTATTTTCTTTAGTTATGTTTCCCAATGTATCATCTATTAACTATGGTTTATGTGTCTATTATCTACCCATTTTATAGAACACCAAGTATGTACACGTTAACGTTTGGCTTATAATATTGTATTGTAGAATAATGTATAATGTACGGTCATTTCGAGTGATTGTGGGTATTCACGCGCCGTTGACTGAACATGTTCAAAAATAGCTGCAAACGAGCCTGCAATTTTTTT